CTTTTGGTGTCACCATTCACATTAAGTCTTTGATAAAAACGCCGTTGGTCTGATCGAAATTGCTGATTTTGTTTATATTGGATGATTCGTGCCTCATATCTTTCAATTTTTCTAGCTGTTGCTGTTATCTGCTGTTTTACAATCTCTACAGCTTCATTGATGTTTCTTGTATCCAATCTATATCTTCTGATTAGCCGATCTATGGTTTTGTTGTTTTTAAGCCATTACTCATGCATGCTCTTCAAGTTACTAGCATCTGCCCTTAATTTTTTGACTTTTTGTTCTAATTGGATTTTCCACTTTGGCTTTGATGCTTTTTCTGTTGTGTGACTAGGTACTTTATACCAATATTTGAGTGATGCCATTATATCCACCAATAGTGTAGGAAAGCTGTCAAAAAAATCTATTTTTCCATAGCAGAAGTGATGCCTTCAGGAAAGTCTTTGGATCCTGTCCAATAAGTAACCACTATGACCTTATTATGATAAAACATGGATCAGCCTTCCCCAGACTGGGGAAATGATTACAAATACATCGGAACAGCGAATCCAGAACTCTCAGTTGTGTGGCCAAGGAAAGAAAGGCTCATGGTATCAAGAAAAGTCCATAGATTTGAGAGTGTATTTCCCAAAGGTGTGGCTCTAAATTCTCTTTTCTTGCCATAAGTGTCACTGACTTCAGTAAGATTTGCACATGCAGGAATCATACAAACCTGAATTCTTTCCAATGTGTTCACCTGGCTTTTCAGCCAAAATTGGCATCAGTGGAAATTACATCATCCCTTCCCTGAAGCGAACAATGTACTTCCCACTGCAGTGAATTTACGTGATGGCACATACATTTAGTTCACTTTGCACAACATGCTTTTATGCAGCAGGATTCTATTATGGTCCATATCCTATTGTGCCTAGTGGTTTGTTCCCTAATAAATTTTGTCAGGAAAAAAATAGGAACTCTACCCCAGTCTGCCACGTATGAAGATTTACAGTCCTGGTATTTTTTAAGCTTCTGTCATGAGTCAAGGTACTTGCAGATGAAAAACCTTACTTGGCAGCATCTTCTGCTTAAAGTTGAATAGGAGTGCAATTTCACAAGCCATTCCCAAATGGCTGGGCTGGAGATTAAATTGCTCAAATCTTATGGGTGGGAATGAATTATGCAGCATTTCTTTATGGTTAATATATTAGTGAGATCACTTTGCCACTCATCTGGGTTATTTAAATGTTACCCAAGGCTTCCAGAATGAAGTTCTTGTATGACTAAGGTCACAATGTAAAAGTTGGACAATTAAATCACACCTTATCTGTCAGTTTGGTGCACAGAGAAAGAGTGACTACTCCTCCCAAAAAACAGAAATAAGGGGTCCTTGATGTTCTCTGAGTTTGCTTGTTTTCTTGCAGACATTTCATTACCCTAACTAGGTAACATCATCAGTCTAGCACAGTGATGGGGAAGCTTTTTGTCCTCACGTGCTGAAATTGTGTGTGCACTCACCCACTTTCACAGTATAACGTGCCCCACCCATCTGCGCATGCACGCATGATCCCCCCCTGCAGGTTTTTTTTTTCTTTCCAAAGGCTCTGGAGGATTTCCTCAACCTCCGGGAGGGCGAAAACGGCCTCCCCCAGGCTCCAGAGGCCAGCCGTCGCCCGTTGCTCTTCCGGTTTCCAACGTGTGCATGCGCACGAGCCAACTGGTCTTTGTGCGTGCATGCACATCAGAAACCAGAAGCTCAGCTTCCCAGCACACACATGCATGCTGGGCAACTGCTTTTCCAGTTTCCAGTGCTCCAGCACGTGTGCCCTGGGGAGCTGGTCTTCCGGTTTCCAGTCCTCCCCCACCCATGCATACACACACTCCGGTTTTGGTACTTGGTGCCAAAAAGATTTACCACCACTGATATAGAGTATCTTGATGGATATCAGTTATTGGAGTTGAGAGACAGCATCAACTATCCAAGAGTTTCACACTTCTCCTGGTTCAAGCCTGCATTACAAATTGATAAACAGTGCTCCAATTAGAATTGTCAGTTCAAAAAACATAGACAATTGTTTTAATGAAGGAAGAATTTGAATTCTTTAAGTGAATATTCGAGAAAAGAAAGAAGGATATTTCATCACTTCTTTCAACTGTAACAAACCACAGTATATTTGAAGCCTGGGAACATTACCTTTGAACCAGGATCCATTCCTTCATTTTACAGGATTACTGATTTAACTTTTTAAAAGGTAACCCTAACTCCTATCACTTGTACAAATGGGGAGCAGAAGAAACTACAATATAGTCCTTTCAACAGTTCCAAGAAGGCTCCACCCCCATTTGTACCACTCAGGTAACCCTGATGACATAGATAAACCTCCAGGTGACCTTAATGGCTCGCTAAAAGAATGCAAATGGCCAAAGAGCTGAAGAAGCTTCTTGGATGAGAAGCAAAATGTCTTCAAAGAAAAACCAGAAAGTGCAATTGTTTCTTGAAAAAAGCATAGTTGGGACAACTATGACCTGGATGACTGAGAGTCTCCATCCACATGGAGCAGAAGAACGTTTCTTGGCAACTACTTCCTTGTTAGAAATATTAAAAATGATCTGGCAAAGTATGATTTAGGCATCACCAATCATTTACAAGCTTTTGCTGATTGTTATTGTGTATTTCAGGACAGATGGTGGATCCAGTTGCATAGGACCAGCCCAAAGTTATCGCTCATGCAACATTCAGGTAATATATTGGTTTGTTTCTTAAGATATTTATAAGTGTCTATTTATCATAAGCAAGTAAGAATGGGAGTTGAAAATCTGAATAATTTCAGTTATTTTATGGAACTAGATGATTGGGCCAAAGTCATCCAGAAAGCTTAATAATGGAAAATAAATATGAACCCAACTATCTTTGATCCAAAAATGCATTCACTACTCCCTACTAGTGGCATGCCGGTAATATTCTGTTTTTTTTTAATTATTTGTTTGTTAAACTTGTATGCTGCTTGACTCACAACAACAGCTCATAACGAGCAATTTATTTATCAAACTTGTATGGCTGCCTGTTCTGACCCCCTCCTCCGTCCAGTAACGAATGCCAAGACAAGCTTAACTGGAATTTCACAGCACTTTATT